CAAATTACTTCCACTGATGGTGGGCCTGTGTCCCCAGCCACCCGGGAGCTTGGAGGACAGGCATGGCCTGTGGGCCCTGTCCACGTGTGTGGCTCAGAGAATGAAGCACAAGTACCTCCCCGCTCTTGTAGGAAGGTCAGCCATTATTCCTCCTATGTCTCAGCTCCGTATCTGAGCCTGCTCTTGAACCTGATTCTGGAAATGCCCATCTCTGTCCTCCTCCATCTCACTTCTTCTGGTGGCTTGGCACAAGACCTCCCAGAACATTCCTGTCGTGCAATTCATTTGGTGGGAAACACGGTCTGGGCACATCCTCCTTGGAGCAGGTCTTGCTTCTCATAGACAAACGGGTTCACCGAGCCAGCCCTGGATTCGTTTCCTGCTGCCAAGTCTCTTAAAATAGAAAGGGGTTTCCAAGCCAGTTGAACAAGCATTAAAAAAAAAAAAAAACACCTGATAATTTCCTATCTTGTTTCTTAATAAATTTAACAGTAAGGGAAAGACTTCTGGCACTGACTGGGTTATTGAATTCCTAAATCTTTTGCTTCTGAGATCTTCATTTACTCAGATTATTAGCAAACATTTATCGACCCCCTTCTCTGTGCCACGTTGTTCCTATGTATTAGCCCCTTACAGCCTCCCAGCCCCGCCAGGAGGTGGAGAGAAGCTCTTTATCGAGGGAGGAGAGGGCTCACAGCAGCCAAGTCAAAGCCCTGGCTGCTGCATGGGAAGCCGGCAAGCGGGTGTCTGCATCTGGCCAGCTGGTTCTTTGCCTATTCAAGGGCTGCTCTGCGTCCAGACTGAGCAGCGTCCAGCAGCGGGATGGGCGGTCAGTTCTGCTGCGCCCAGCTGCTGCTTCCTGGTTGCTAAAGTGGAATCTGGTGCTGGAATAACAGAAGATCAAGTAGAGCTGGGCCGCAGGACTTAGTGCAGCCAGAGACAGACCAGCAGAGCCAAGCGCGGGTCCAGGGTACCAAGGCTCACCTGGTCAGCCCTCCCCAGCACGGGATGATGCCATCCCCTCCCGACTCAACCCCTCCCCATTGCTACACCATAACCAGCCCCACACACACACACACACACACAAGGACAGGTAAACCATTGGTTGCCTACAGTAAGTCATTACCAAATAAAATATAATAATAAAATATCAAGTCAAGGCAAATGCTGTGAATAAAAAAAAAAGTGATTAAGTGATATAATCCGAATTCAAACCTGGGTCATTTGAACTCAGAGACTTTGTTCTTACCTTTTACCTTTTACTGTCCCCCCAAAATATTTGGTTCTCTACCCTTTAGCGCGACTGAGAATTAAAAGAAAATTGAACTTGAATATGTAAAAGGTTTGCCACAGTGACCCGCTCAGTAAAAGTTAGGTGGTCTTCTCCTCCTCCATCACCACTGTCCGTGCATCATAGAGGGCTGGGTGGGACATGCTGTTGGCTGGCTGGCCTGGTTTTCTGCTTAAGGGTAGATAGCATCCCCTAGGACCAGTAACAGACAGGAGAGAAAGGAGGAGAAATGCAGCTGGGCCCCATCAGGACAGAAGACCAGACGGGGTTTGTCCAGGGTCCCACCCAAAGCAGTGGTTCTCATGTTTTGTGTCCTGAGTGACCTGACCAAAGATTGCCTCTCCCCAGTTGGAGGAGATTTTGCAAAGATGATCTGCAAATCTGTTTGAATCCAGACCGTAAATTCAAAAAGCTACAATCTGTGGAAACAGGGCAGATATAGGTTGAGGCTTTAAGTATGTTATCTTGTGTAATCATCACAGCAAGTCTGTGAGGTGCTTGCTGAACCCTTCTCTGGTAGGAGCAAAGCTGACTGGAGATGGAGGAAGAGGAAGTGGTTGTCTGGGTTGAGCAAGGGACAGCAGCAGGAGGGAGGGGCAGTCAGTTCTGTCAAGGTCAAGGTCATACCCAGCCCCCTCTCCCCTGCCCAGACCAGGCCCAGAGCAGCACAGCCTTCTATGGGTGGGAATGTGGGCACTCAGAGGCACGATGGGTCATTCTTTAGGACCCATGATAGATGATTTTGAAAATTTGAATCAATTCTCTCCTTAGTTAATGCTCGACACGCCGGAGTAATAGGATTTCAGGGAGAAATGACTTTGCAAGCTCCCTGGATCCTGGTTTTTCCCAAGCTCCCTGGATATTTGAGTCATATTTGAGTCTTGGTTCTCTCTGTCTTTAAACTGGGCTCTTAATCACCAGGGCATGGCTGTCCCTGGCTGCCATAATGGGAATTGATGAGCAGCCCCAAATTCAGGCCTGCTCTGACACTGAAATACGACACTGGGCCTTCCTATTCACCTAGAAGATTTTTTATACAAAAAATAATAATAATAAATAACTTCAGTAGATGTGTGAACACCATGTAGTCCTCAAAAAGAAAACCCTGTCAAGTGTAGGTGTCCCAAATCTCTGTAACATAGTTCTCAAAGCTTCTTTGAATCATTATAATCTCACATTTAAATTGCATAACCCTCTAGAAAGCAGAGGAATACGTTGCAAGGGAAATAGTTTGTCCACCTGCTGAACCATAAGTAGTCCAAGGCTGGGTTTGCACACACTGCCTGATTCCGCTTAGTTTACGTATGTGAAGAGTCTACTTTTTGCTTAGCATATGGAGAACCTTTGATACACATTACGTCTTTTTAATTCCCTTGCCCTACACCCACCCAGCAGTCCCAGGAGAAAGACAAGCCATTACTGTTCCCCCCATTTCACAGCAGAGGAAAGGGAACCTCAGAGAGCTTCCCCGACCTGCCCAGATTCAACGCAGGGAGGCGTGGAGCTCTGCCCACCATCAGGGCCTGGCTCCTGGATCCCCTTGGCCGACTCTCTGACACCCCTTTTTCCTAAATGTGGAGAGCCTTGTTATCCTAAAACTGGGGTCACTTGCTGGGGATCATGATGCCCCTGTACTTACTGAAGTGAGCTTCTTAGGGGCAGGAAGTCCCTGAACTAGAGAACTCAAGGTGTCAGGTGAGGGGCCAGCCCACAATCCCCTTGGCTTGGCCTCTGACAGCAGGTGAGTGACAGCAGGTGAGCGCACAGACCACGACTCAGAGCGCCCCTGCCTAGGGCCACCCGGAGGATAACAGGGCTGAGGGAGTGGCAGGGGTGGCCTGGCAAGGTGGGCATTTCTGTGAAGGGCTTGTCTTCCCAGAAAGCCGAGCGTCCCCGAGGTGTGGCCCCAGGCTGTGTCCAATAAACAGTGAAATGGGACAGACCAGGTAGTCCAGGCTGTGTGGTGGCACCATCCACGGAGTTTTCCAAACTGCTTTTACGACCCATGAGCGGGTCATGAAATCATTCAGGGGGCTGCAGCCTGCTTATTTTATTAATAAGATAGGAGAAGAGGTAAGGAAGAACCCCGGCAAACACGGAGGCTGTCTCACACAGAGGAAGGATTGGTGCTGTTTTCCATCCATGAAAAATATTTTTGTGAAAATGAGTGTGGTGTGTGTGTGTGTGTGTGTGCGTGTGTGTGTGTGTGTGTTTACTTCCTGGGCCGTGATACAAAACATAATCTTCTGAGTCACAGAAGTATTTGAAAAGCAAGTGGTTGGAGGAGAATCTTAGAAACAAATCAACTTCCATTTCCCAATGATACCATATGAGAAATCTAATGCTCATTTGTACCCTTTATCCATTATTATTAGTCATTTAAAAAAAATCCCACCTGGTACGTGGCCTGCCCCCTGTCTCAGCCTCTGTTAGGGATGAAGTAAGGGCCCCGTGAAGCCGCAACCACTGATGGGCAGCAAGGGTCAGAGGGGGGTGTGGCAGGTCACCTGACCAGACACCCACATTCCAAGGAGAGTCCTTTCCAGCGGGATGAAGAGCGAACGTGAGCCACTTGGCCTTTGCCTCCATCTCCCTCACAACTCAGCAGGCGTTCCACAAACGCTTCCTAATCACCACCTACTCCTTGTTCTTCGGATTCCTGATAAGAAAGCACTTCATTCCTAACTTGTCACATGGTTTTATGGCTCTGTATGTAGTAGTGTCTCTCCTTCACTCCGACTGGGCATCCCTGAGGACAAGGATGAAGTATACTGTGTCACTGTCTTGGTCCCTAACACAGAGCAGTGCCGGCCTTATTCATTGTGTCCTCTGTGACTGGTACTTAGTGATTGTATCTGTTAGCTTTCACCCTAACAATGGTGAGTAAGAAAGAGGCCCCATCTCAGGGGTGTCTGGGGAAGCTCTAAGGGGCCAGTCATTCCTGGATCTGCTGCATGTAACTCTCACCCCAGACCAGCAGGCCAGTCAGGGCATGAGATGAAGTAGAAAAAGTGCTTTTGAGACCTTTGAGTCTAACAGTCAAGTCATCAAGGCTGAAGGTCAAGAATTAAGAAGCCCACACTGCCTTAGGGTAGCCAAGGAAGAGGGAATATTTGAGGAATCTATGCAAGCAAGACCTCAGGTTCTCGATAGATGTTTAGGGAACAGGAAAGAAAGGAAGAAAATAATTGGATTCTAGGGCTTTCCAGGGGTATTCACCATATAAGTTGCCAAAATCCCTGGGGGATTTTCTACCTCCCAACACACAGCTCTGCAGACAGAGCCATAAGCCTGTCCCAAGCGTGACAGCCTAGTCACCCAGTTCCATTTGCTGGGCAAGCCCTCGGAGGCCACGGCCAGCAGCTGCCCCCCAGGATGCTCAGGGCTGCAGCTCAGGGAAGGAGGACGGGGCAGTGACCATGGGGTTCATGGGCAGCATCTCCAGGTGGACAGAATCCCTGCCAGGCCCAAGGGGAGGATTGCATTTCTTGGAAATGTGTGCCTGGGGACAAATGCCTATGAGGTTGTTAAGATCAGGACTCTGAGGGGACCCTTTGAACCAGCCAGACACCACGGCTAGAAGGGGTCCTGGGCTTCGGTTCCTTGTTGGCTCCTCAGTACAACCCTGCCGCCGCTTGGGGTCCTGCAGCCCTCCCTGGTGACCTGAGCGGTAACAGTCCGTCTTCTTTCTTATCTCCCTCGGCTACAGGGGTGCTGTGCCTGCCGGACAGCCTGAACCTGCACCGAGACCCGCAGCGCGCCAGCAAGCCCGGGGAGCTGCCCATGTTCAGCCAGTCGGAGCTGAGGACCATCGAGCAGTCCCTGCTGGCCACCCGCGTGGGCAGCATCGCCGAGCTGAGTAAGTGACGCTGCTCCTCCAGCCCCGGCGCCATGACAATCCTCTGTGGCCTAAAGGGACACCACCAGCCCCTCAGAGCACTCAGGCTTTGTAACCAGCCAGGTGACGATTTATTGAGTGCCTGCTGTGTACACAAGATAACATTAATGCAGTGGGGAAGGGGTGGGCCCTGAGCCAGGTGGGCCCTGAGCCAGGGCCTGGGAGTTGACCACTAGTCGAGGTCCAGTTGCTCATCTCTGGTCCTCATTTTCCTTTTCTATAAAACACAAGAAATAGTGGTGCCCAGCGTGGGGTTTGCGGGTGGTGATGCCCTGAGTGAAAGCCCACTGGGCTGGGCCAGGCCCACAGCACACAGGTGCTGCATAGACAGGGGCTGCTCACTGTCGGTCTCTGTGCCAGGATCCTTTTATTTGGGGGCAGGGGGTTACCAGGGATTGAACTCAGGGGCACTCCACCACTGAGCCACACCCCCAGCCCTATTTTGTATTCTATTTAGAGACGGGTTCTCATGGAGTTGCTTAGTGCCCCACTTTTTGCTGAGGCTGGCTTTGAACTCATCATCCTCCTGCCTCAGCCTCCTGAGCCTCTGGGATAACCAGCGTGCGCCCCAGCGCCTGGCCACACACGGCGCCAGCTTTAAATCACAAGTCAGATCACTGCCCCCCCATCCCGTTCCAAATCCTCTACTGACCCCCTCTGACCCAGAGGGAAAGCCAAAATGCTCAGAATCCCTCCCAGTGCCCCCCCCACACATCTTCCTCTACTGTTCCTCTGGCACCTTCTTGTCCTTGAACATCTCGGGCACGCCTGGGGACCTGGGCACCTGTGTCCCCTCTGCCTGACGCTCCCTTCAGATCACCATGGCTGGCTCCCTCAAGATCTTCAAGAGGCACCCGTGTCCCCTCCTCAGAGAGGCAGCTCTGGCCACCCCATTTAAAATCGTAACACCCTGAGGGCTCCTGTGTCCATCAGCTCAGGCTGTGGCTGGAACCCCGCGGGAGGCAGGTGGCTCAGAAAACACTGACCTGCACAGTTCTGGGGGCTGCAAGTCCAAGGTCAAGGTGGGGAGCAGTTCAGTTCCCATAAGAGCTTCTCACTGTGTTCTCATGTGGCAGAGAGAGAGAGAGAGAGAGAGATGGATGGATGGAGGAGTGGGGGGAGGTGGGGAGGTCTTCTCTTCTCACAAGACCACTGACCCCAGCCTGGGCCCTACCCTCACCTGGCAAAGGCCCCACCTTGTGTTATCATCACATGGGGTGAGGCGTCAGCAGGAATTCTGGGGAGGCACACATGCCATCATAGCCACTCTGTCCCCCTCCACTGCTGACATTTTGTGTCTGGTAGTCACCATCCTGACGTAGTCTGTACATTCTTTGGGGTTTTTTTTATAACAGCTTCATTGCAATATAATTCATATACGGTTCACTTCTGTAGTAAGTCAGTCGTTTCTAGTGTGTTTACCAAGTTGTGTAACCATAGCCACCGTCACGTTCACCATCATAGGTCATTTGCATCACCCAACCGGAACCCAGTCCCCATTTGGTGGCCATTCACCTCCCCTGACCCCTGGGCACTTTATATTTTACTTTCCTGGTTTTAGTCATCTCTCACAACTCGCATCTATTCTCCCTGACAGTAGGAACGTTTGATTTATTCACTAATATAACAGCAACACCAAGAATGCTCTCTGGCACATAGTAGGCCTTCAGGAAATCTAAAGGAAAGGAAGGAGGGAGGGAGGAAGGAAGAGCCGACCAGAAAAGTAGAAAAAAAGAGGCAGAAAGGTAGAAAGAAGAAAGGGGCCGTCAGAGTTGGGGTGTCCCAAGTTCAAGGAATAATTCGACACCTTGTGCACCAAATTCAGGGTTGTGCTAAGTCTGACCAACCGGAAGAAAATGGCACCGTGCTTCCTCATGATACGATTGATCGTCCAAACGAATTTGCTGTTTTAGTTCCTGATGGAGTCAGAGCATTGATCTCAGAAATGGTCGATTTAGGTTGAAGTTGGGGTTGGTCCTGCAACTCGAGCAGACCCTGAACTAGGAAGAGACTCAGGACCCAGAGGGATTCCCTGCCCACCCAAGACGGGCATCCCCCATGGGCCACGGCCTGCCCCTCTAGCCAGGGACACCCACTTCAGACCCCTGAAGCCACGAGCTGCCTCTCATCACCGTGTCTTCTGGCTGTCAGTCATCCAACTGTTCTGAAGCCCCCTTGGCAATGTGGTGAAGCCGAGGGACCCTGGCTCAGAATACTTTTAAATGCACACTGTACGCAGGACTACAGAGGAAACCAGTGTTCATATTCAGTTATCCAAATCTTTTAAACCTAAATTGTGGCCCAGTCATGCTGGGCTTTTATTGAATGTGAATTCACAAGCTCTAGTGGCAGGTCTGATGTCCCTGTGATTCTGAGGCACAGATGTGGGCGAATGCCATTCGAGTTATCTACAGCTGGACCGGGACGATGGAATCTCTGCTCCCAGGGTGTGCAGACACGTGTCCCAGCAGCACCTGGGAGACATGACTAGAAGAAGAAATGCCACCCATCTGGGGCTTTGCTAATTTCCAGGACATGACCCTGACCCTGGACGTGTAGAATCTGGCTGCAGCCTTGGGACCTGTCTGCATGGGTATTGCCAGGGATGAGGCCCCTGCACCAGGTGGCCCTTTTACCTGACCCCACCCCACCCCATGTCTCAGAGGTTGTTCCTGGGATAGCCCAAAGCCCCCTCCTGACCCCAGACCCCTGAGGGGCCCTGCATAATTCTGGTGCCTTCGTCAAAGCAAGCACCTGCTGAACAGATCCACACGCCCCCTGCGCAGGCAGCCTGCAGGCTCAACCTGCTGTATAAATTGTTTTTAAGGATAATTTGCTCTGTAAATTAAGCCCTGTCATCACTGAATGTTGACTTTCATGTGCGAATTGCCGCACACAGATGGGTGTTGTGAATTGCGAGTGGGTTCCGAACATCCGTCAAGTCAGCCCCGAGAGCGTGCGCAGAAGCACTTGATAAGCCGTCAGGTCGACAGAAGGTTCAGGGTGGCCTCTCTGGATCTGCCTGTGGTCTAGCCGGCTGGCCCTGGGGTCCAACACAGACTGGCTCTCTGCATACAGAGAGAGCGGCTCTTCCTATTCACAGGTTACCTGCTGAGGTAACCACATTTCTGCAGCCAAGGGGAGATGGAGAAGGGTCTTCAGCAGGAAAACACTGCCTGCCAGGGTCAAGAGCAGAGCCTCTTTCTTAACAGGTGACAATCCCAGCAGATGAGGGTCCCCGCACTAGGGCACCATGACAAATCCCCACAGCAGTGACTTCCGTGTGTTCTGTGGTCCCCACTTTATGATAAGGGGTGAAGGGAGGTCCAGCAGACAGCTCCACTCAGACCCAAGAGCCCCTCTGTGAGATCAGGGGGTGGGCAGGGGCTGTGACCGCCATCTGGGGGGAACCTGCTGTTTGCACTATAGGGTGCAGGCTGGATTCCATGCTCTGATACAAATTGGAGATGGGACCGTTCACAAAGGTTACCACGTCCCTAAATAGGGGATCCAGCCCTGCACCCCAGGCTCTCTCCCTGGGACCCCTGCCCAGTTCCTCAGGGCGCCATATTACAATCCAGGGCTGCTTGATCCACCGGCCTGTGGCCACCTCCCGCCATCCAGTCGGTTTTGGTGCTACAGCTTGGATCTCGAATGTCCCCCAAAGCCTCCTGCACTGAAGCCACAGTCTCCAGCCCGTGGCCTCCAGGAGCTGAGCAGCCTCCTCTATCCCCCACTCTGCTGTGATTCCCTGTGCCACCGTGGGCCCCAAGCAATGGCACCAGGCCACCATAGGCAGAAACCTCGGATACCTCAGGCCAAAATAAATCCTTTGTCCCGACAGGGATGTGGTCACCATGATGGAAAGCTGACCAACATCCATTTCCATTTCTGGAACCGTCACTGTGTCCCAAATGCTTTGAATGCATCCCAGGGGTCATCATTCCCGTTGCGCAGACGAGAAAGACTGAGGCTTAGGAAGGTCCTCGCCTTGCCCCGCGCTCCCCAGCCCCGTAAGCGGCAGAGTCGGGATTCAGACCATTTCCCCTGTGGCCTCTGCTGTGGGTGCCAGGCCCACTTTGTATTCTGAGCGCCTCCTGCCTCACCCAGAGCTGGGGAAGCAGCCGCTGAGTGTCACATGAGTGACCTGAAGTGAACTAGCGGAGACCCAAACACGGAGAAGGTGCTCAGGTGAGCAGAGACGTTTCCCGCTGGACTTCTGAGCCCAGGGACCTCGGCCACAATCTAGAACACGTGGAAGGGAGGCTCCATCAGGACACCGCGAGGTCCTGGGAATTCCTTGGCCCTGAACCCCCAGAACTTCCCAAGGTGCCGCACCTCGTGGCTGACCTCAGCGTCGGCAGGGCAGTGCTGACCTCCTTACGGGGAGCAGGGCTGGAGGAAGCAGGTGTGCCCCGCTCCCCACCCAGGCCACACAGAAGACGGGACCTGGATTCCCTCCTTTGGGGACCAGCTCATCCCTGCCTTTGGTCCTGTCCACCTCTGTGACCTCATCCTGGCTTTTCTGCCTGTCACCCCTGTCTCGCCCCAAGCGCCTGATCAAGCCCCACCTGAAGGTCGTTAATTACAGGGTTTGCTTCTCTTGTTCCCGTAAATGAGAGTTTCATGGTAAAGTGCCTCTTGCTGATGTCTTTGCCCACTATAATGTGAACCTGTTGTCCCCACTCAGCTGGGAAATCAGACAGGACCATGAATTCACACCTGGATCAGAAGGTTTTCTAGGTTATCTCCAAGTCTCCAGGGGAGAAAAACAACTGCATAGAAACAACTCTTCTGGCTGAGACAAGGGTTCTCTCTCCTTGTTTGAAATGTGGGTGGGCTCTTCTCAGACTCCTGCTGCCTCTGGCCCTGGGGTGTACCTGTAACCTTCTCAGGTGGCAAGGTAGCTGCTGGCCTCCTGGTAGGTCTTGAATGGGCACTCGTGCTTCTACCACAGGGCC